CATAAACTTTGACTCTTTGACAATCTAAAACCGTTGTCCAAATTACGGGCGAATGCGGGCGTTTTTTTAAAACTCAAATCAAAAATAGGCATTTTAGTGTATTTGTCAGCCGATGCACGCATATCTTTAATTGTTCATAAAACACACATTTTTTGGAGTAGGGGGACGTCCGACCCACCAAAACGAAGCGGAAAGTTTGTTCTTTAATTCAGTATAAGAGTTTGGCTTAGGCGATCAGAAACTATTCTTTAAATCGGGATTAAAGTCGAGAGATGATTCAGAAGAGAGCGAGCCGCGAGCAGGGGAGTGAAAATAGTCCCAGTTTGAGTGGTTATATCTATTTTATAGGGACGAGAAGGCCAAAAACGAGCTTTATTCATGGTATAGTGGTCCTTTAGGAATAAAAGGGTGATATTGGTAACACTCTAAACGCAATTTGGATTTTCTATTTTTGTCGTGCTCTCAGACCACTGTGCAGCGTGGTTGCGACGAAAATTCTGCCCGTTCACAAGAGTTCATCTGAAAATTGCATGACGTCACCCAGCAAGATGATTTGAATTTTGGGTTTACAACGACAATCGTACGATAGCGGCTACTTCAACGACCACTATGAATTTTGGTTGAGACAATAGGTAAAACAATATATTCGTTCGTTTCCTTTGAGAAATCGAAACCGACGTGATACGAATACGGAACCGACATTAAATCAATATCAATGTCGGAAATGTGTTGATTTCAGTGCCATTTTGCCATTTCGAGATCGACCATTTTTTCCGGCTGTTCCCTCACTAACCCGACGATAGTTGCTACGGGTTTTCACTTTTCTTGGCGTTATTGCAAGCTAGAACAAAAAAGTGGAATTCCCTAGCTTTCCCGGCGGTGCGGATTTCCTGCCCATCATCGGCGCGACTCGCGTGCCCCTATTATGCGCAAGGTCACGAACATCGTCGCGCTCGCAAAACTTTGGAGCAAAGGAATGTGCAAATCGCAACAGCACAAAAGAAAAAGAGGCACAAAGATGGTGGCATGAAATTAGCAACAGTGCAAAAGAAAGTCCTGGGGGAGGATTCAGAAAAGGGCCATGCCGGATGCTAGCGTGTGCTTTTGGCTTTGGCGCGGGGAGCGCGCAGAAGGCTGAAGGCTGAGGCAGGGCCGCTGCGACGTGTCCGTGTCGCGGAGGCCACGACGGCAAGAGGAGGAAATCGGGGCTTCAAAGTTGGTTGCTGCATGGGCCCCGTCCACGTCCATGCCCTGCCACCCTTACACCTGCTCGCTCAACCCAAAAGGGAAAAGTTTAACGCAGTGGCATAATACGCACACTAAATCTGAAGGACCTCTATTTTTTTATTTGAACGGATAAAGATTCAGTTTTGTGTACATAGTAATGAGTTTCAATTATAAATCTTGCGAGTAAAAAACGGGAAGCAACTAAAATTAGCAAACTAGCAAACTAATAAGGAATAAGGAACAACACTTTTTTTATTCTTGTAAAAATGAACTTGGGGAGGGGGGAGGGGGTGCGCCCTAATGCTGCCAGGTTGAGGCTGGTGGTGGAAAGGCGCCGCCGAAGGGGGAGGAAGGGGAAGAGGGGGGTTGTATTGCTGCGGTTCGGTTCGCGCTTCATTGTAGGAGGCGTGATGGATGATTGGCGTTGCATTGCAAAGGCCTGGGCCCGCCGGGGCCTGGGCCTGGCCTGGGCCTGTCCGGGCTGCCTATCAGTACGCCTCAGTGCGCGACCGGCACCCCCGACGACCACGAGGTCCTGGAGGCGGCCTTCCAAACGCGAGCGCGCGCCCCGGGCCAACGCGACGCGGACGGCGACCAGCGACCACGAGGTCGCGTAGGTCTCCAAACCTGAACGAACATACGCTCCCGCGACAAGCGTGGAGGGACGCGGCCGTGCGGTGGTTTTGGGGGGGTCAGCTCTGAAGATGGTCATAAAGGCTCTGAAGTGAAGACGAAAGCCTCGGAATGGTTGCCCTCCTGGAAGAAAGCGGACACGAGAGGGTGCAACGCGAAATTTTGTCGAAGAAATAGTGACATCTCTCTTGTGATCGTGATGGTGTCAGTCCTCAAACTACGTAGGTTGGGTTACTTAGTATTGTTCATGAATCGTGGTTCAGGTAATTGGGTCCGACAACTTTCGTATCCTTTGAGAAAGTTGTGCAGTGGGGGTTGTCTTTTCGCGCGGATAAGGCATGTCTTGGGCAAATACCCACATATAAACTGATGTGATGGGGCACACGAAAGTGAGTGGTGCAAATCCGGGAAATCAGTCACCATGACTATGCTGGTAGAGTTTCTTCGAGTTTTTACAAGGAGAATTGCGTCCATATTATTTGATTTCGGACGGCCCCTATGCTGAACTGACCTAGGCCCTTGGCTCTTACTCAGCCTGCTCCATTGAGTCACGTGTCTCGTGTCTCTCTTATCGTAGCGCACTATCGAATGATGTAAGATTTATCCACATCTGTATTGCCTACTGTTTAAAGTTTAATGGTGAACAGTTACTGGCGCTTTCCTAGTTTTATCAGAAATACATGTCAGAAATTTGGTCCGTCGGAAAAAAAGAGACAGCTGAAAAAAGCAAACTAAACACGGCATGTTTTTTGTCTCACCTTGCCTGCCTACGGGGGGAAATTGTCCATGAAACGGACAAACAGTTCTTACACCTCAACTAGGTTAAGGCGTATAGGCCGGAGGTATTTTTTTTTTTTGTGTGGATGCCTCCGATTTTATTTGGGACAAACAGATCGCTCAGCCTCGCGTGATTCGGTGCGTGGTATGTGGACTTTGAAGTTCCGTTATCTCGCATACCACAAACGGATCGCAAATGAGGTCGTGTTACATTACGTTCAAGTGCCCGAACCGGTCCGAACAATCGGCCTTGAAAAAATAAAAACTGAAAAAAAAATTGTGGAAAAAATCTTGAAAAGATACCCCCTGGCCCGAGTTTCTCGTTATTAAGATTAAATTACCCTATCCTCAGCAGTCACAGTTGAGCCCCCTGTATAACAAAAAGTAATTAAAACAAGTTTTAATAAATCGCCCAATAAAATTTATTGGTTGACGTAATAGCAGCAGAGGCCACGTAGGCGGCCTCCAACACCATAAACAATTTTCATTTGTGTCGAATAAAAATAAATGAATGGATCACACGGAACGCTATCATTTTCAGCGGTTTTTGCTGTTTTGGTCACCACTGCAGGCACTACTCACTACTCCAGTTACAGAACAAAAAGTTGTGCCACTCGGGGCAGAGGCAGTGCCAGGCGTCGTGCGTTTGAATCCCCACACGCACGACACACAATCCCTTGTGCTTTTGTTTCTTTTCTGTTTTCGATCGACTTCCTCCGGTAAGCCACCTCGCGCCCGCTCGCGCCCCGGCCCCGCGCGCCGTCGTTGCGTTCCAGAGCACCCTTGCCACTACCCCGGGGGAGAGAGAGAGAGGGATGGAGAGAGGAGTTGCTTTGAGCCGGCGTCGCCACCGCGTCAGTCGCGCCGGCCACGCATAAGGCGGTGCCCTCCCCTCACTCCTCAGACAGGTGTCGATACTCTCGCTTTGTGCGTTCATGAGGGGAAGGAAAGGGGAGAGAGTGGGTCAGGGAAAGTTTTTGATCGGTCAGGATCCGGTGCACCCCGCCTCGCAGTATGTGTGTCAGATTCCCGCACAAAGTGGGGTGCCCAGAGGGAGTACGCGTCCTTTACACGCCCTTCACAGGTCGTAATAAAACTTGTAAACTATTTCTAGTGTTTTCTCTATACATGCCTCGTCTTCATGAGATTGTGACCCAAAATTAATGTCTTTCACAAAATCACAAACAACTTAACCCGAATAAACCGCATTTCATTTTAAATTGAGCCTTATTGTAACTGGCAGAAAAAACTAACTGTCGGTGCTGTCGGCTAGACTGGGGTGAGGCGGAGCGTGGGTGGTGCGGAGATGGGGTGGGTGGTGGGTGGAGGGGTCGGAGCGAAACGGACAATCTGGGTAACGTCGCAATCAGGTGGAAACTACCCTTAAAATGATCAACCATTTTTTATTTTTCGTCGAAAGCGACTCCCAAATACTAGAAAAGTTTGATGCCGTTTTTTTGGACGACCTGTCCAGGACCGAGGAGCGTTGTACAAGCTGTCTGGCCCACAAAGCAGCGGCACGAGTGAAGATTTTCTACGGCGCAGTGGACTGTCATCTTCTAGATACAAGTTCTGTACGCGGTGCGTGGCCAAGCCGTCCTGCAGAACTCCTGAAGAAAGCATATAGTCTGTACGCCTCCAGGAGGCCTCCAGGACGCCTCTATGATGCGTCTCCTCCCCTGCGGCCGCGCACCGCCGCGAGCACAAACAGGAAAAAACACAAGCAACGGTTGCGTGTCAGCGATGGTGTGAGGAGGTGCGGGGGCCGCCGGGCGCAGGGGTGATGATGTCACGCGGGGGTGGAGGGGGTGGCGGGGGCGGGCCCCTGCCGTGTCTTTCGGCGCGCTCCCGGGCCCCGCTCGTCCTGCCGGCCGATCCTGCAGACCTGCACGAAATCCTTGCCCTGCTGGGGGAGGCCCTGGGGGCGTCGCAGGCGGCGGGGGTGGAGGGGTTGCAGGCCGCCCCTCCCTGGACCGCCCCCGCCCCCGGTCCCGGGCCCAAGCCCGCCCCCGGACCCGCCCCCGGCGGCGGCGTGGTTGTCGCGGCAGACAGAAGCACGGCAGACGGAGCCGCAGTGCACACGACGCTCTTCCCTGCCTCGACCGCAGCGAGCAGCGGCAGCAGCCAGGCGCGGCACGGCTCAGGCGCAGCCCCGCACCAGCCTGCAGACATGCCAAGGGTGAGTCCAAGCGCTAAAGCTAGTGTCCGGCGCGGTCAAGATTTCTCGATGTGTGTGTGTTTTTTTTTTTTTTTTTTTTTTTTTTTTGCTTATTACTGTGCCTGGAGAGGGTTGCGGGAAACCAAGCTATCTATACCGGTGCGTTTCACCAAGAATTGCCGCTAATGAGCACAGAACACGGTGTGGCCAGTTCCCTGCTCCGAATGTGTTCATAATACCGGAGCTCCGTTGAAGAGTATGGTGCAGCGCCGTAGCGTCGTCCCACCGCTCGGACGCATACGCGCGGCGCCGTGACCTCTGGGGCCGGCGCACCTGTCACCCCGTGCGCGCGCGCCGCCCCGCCGGCCCCGCGCCGCCAACAGCTGACCACCTCTGAGGTGGGTGGACTGCGTGCCGGCCGGTCAGCTGTCGGCGCCGGCGCCGCCGCCGGCCGCCGCCCCCTCGCGTTGTGTTGTGGCTTGTGTGGCCGGCCCCAGTGTGGCCGAGGCCGTCGGCTGTCCAGTCCTGTCCGGCGCCGGCGCCCGGATCGATAAGACGCCGGGCGGCGGCCGCCGCGGCGGTGTGTCCGGCAGTCCGGCTCCAGTGGTCACCGCGGCCGCCCCCGAGCCGGCCGCGCCCGCCCTTATGGCGACCCGGCCCGCGCCGCCCTGAGGGACAGGACAGAGTCATGGACGCCCCGGACTGCTCGGCGGCGAAGGGCGCCTGGACCTCGGCCACGGCCACGACTACGACCTCGGCCACAACCACGGCCAGCATGGCCACGAGCAGCGTGGGGTCGCAGGCGGGCGGCGGCGGCCAGCGCCTGCGCATCAACGTGCAGGAGAAGCTGACGCTACGCCGCGAGTCCAAGAGCCAGAGTCACCGCCTGGTGAGGCACGCCGTCAACGTGTCGGTGCTGCAGCCCATCCCCGAGCAGGTGAGGACGGCGGCGGGGGAGCGCGGCGGCGCGTGGAGGAAGGACGCCGAGGACATATGCCCTCATCCAGCCGAGCGCCGCCGCCGGTGGTGACGCCACTATACTTCGAACCTAGAACCGAGATGTTCTGCGCGTGTCTCATGTGTGATTTCGTGTCGCCGCTCGGCCGAGCTTTGCCTTGTATTGGTTTTGCGGTCATTTGCGTGGTGTGGCCCAATGCCTCGGCGCGGCGCGAAGGAAACGACTTTGTGTCGCAGCCCCTCCGTGGCGTGCAAGGCGCTCGTGGGCTCGTGCCAGTGTGTGTGTGAGAGAGACAGAGAGAGAAAGAGAGAGATTGAGCGAGTTTGTGTCTGTCTAGCGTGCGGTCGACTTGGTGGTGTGCTTGTGGCCTCTCCCTCCCTCCCTCCCGCCGTGTCGTACCTCTGCCTCGCTCTCTGCATCTCCTTCCCTCCCTCCCCCTCTCACTCCCACCCCCCTCTCTGTCCGCGGGCCGCACGTGTGTCGATGCATATCAGAGGGAATCACTCCCCTTACTCGGCGAAACGTTTTCTCATGCCCCAAAGCTCTGCTTCTGCGGCGGTGCGGCGGTCCCGTGCCTCGTGCGGGGACTGCTTTTAGCACAGCCCCCCTCCCCCTCCCCCCAACCCTGCTGCCCTGTGCGGTCAGGGTCGCCCGAGGCGAAGGCGACTCGGCGGCGCCCTCCCGCGGTTTTTGCATAATTCGCAGGGGCTGCACTCGCGCTGTATGCAGGCGTGGCGTGCCCCGCTGACCCGACTGTACACTGTTTACCTTGCACCGGCCCGCCGCCGCCGGCCGGACTAGAGAACCAGAGCTCTTGGCCGGACTGCCGGCCGGGGACTAGACCGCGCGAGCGACCCCCCGTGGGGCAGGCAACGCCATGCAGGTACGCGTGGGATTGCCTACCTCCTACCTCGCCGGCTCCTTCAGGCAGCAGAGCTGGTCGCCCGGGAAAGTTTCAGGGGTAGTTACGATACTTTACGTTAAACATTGTCACATCCCGATGACCCTACTCTAGAGGCGGGGAGCGCACGTCGACTTTTACTTGAAACGCTTGAAACAGCGGACCCCTCTTTGGTCTTAGGTCCGCCTAAGAGCCTTTGCGCGTGGCGAACTACGCTGCGGCTCCGTCTGCCAACGCGTTCTCCGACCCCAAATGAAACCGCCATCTTGCCCGCCTCGCCTCGCCCCGCCCTGCGCGCGTGTGATCGCACCAGATGCGCTGAGGATGCGCGATGGGCATGAAGCTATAGCTGTAACGCCATGCTGGTCCGATAAGGAGACATAAAGGGTGCAGGCGTTGTGGTGCGGTGGGGCGGGGGTGGTTTGTTGTTGTAGGGCTTTGACTGGATAAAATCAGGCATTGGAGTGGGCGGCACTAGCTCGCCGAGATTGCAGGCCGCAAATGCCCCAATCGCTATATGATGATGGCGATATCCCTCGTAACACCCAGAGAATCGTTTTCCTTTTTATAGATTTGAAGAAAATGCTGGCTATTAGTTCAAAGAACCCTTCTTTATCCGCGGTATACTCGTCTTACCCCCAGGTACACGAGTATGTGCGGTATGCCTCCCCCCCTCCTCCTGCGCACGCCGTGCCTCCCCACCCCCACGCTACCCGTTGTGTTGTGGCGGTCACTGGGCCGCCCGCCGTCTGTCGGACTGGGTGTGCGACAGGAGAGAGAGGTGAGGGGTGGGGGGAGGGGGGGGTGGTGCTGCACGCGCGGTGCACTTCCGCTCGGACACAAGGGGAGGACAGCTGAGGGTGATTGGGCGAGGAGGTGGGGGTGATGGGGGTAATGAGAAGAGGTGCGCTAGACTTTTAGTTGTTCTTTTTCGTCGCTGCCTATTTTCTATCACCCTCCCAGGAAAATGATTAGCAATGGCAACCATCTTTGATTGGCTCAGGGAGCACCATAAAATATTGTCGAGACAACAATGACAACGTGATGGAAACCATATTTTTGGTTCTCACAACCACGATGTTCGATGTTGCATCAACCATATTTTGTGATGCTACCTGAATTAACCATAATCATACGACGGTCGCTGAAGCAAATCATTTTTCCTGGGTGACCTCTGCCTGAACGCACCGTTGAAGGGCTACGGTGCTACTGTCTCGTCTGCGCACCGCGCACCGCGCGACGCCGACGCCGCCCCGCGCCGCGACGCGTGGCAGCGGAGCCATGCCATACCGGAGTTGGGGGGAGAAAAAAAAGAGCAAAGGCGACGACGGGTCGAAATGCTCGTTTCCACTTTAGCTCCCCCGCGCTTACCCCGCAGCTCGGCGCGGACGCGTCCCCCTACCACCTCCCTTCCCGTGTCCCGGCCCCGGCCCGGCCTGCAATTAGGGCGCAACGAGGGATTGACAATGAAGGCGCTGCTAGGGGTGGGGGGTGCATTGTGCCTGAAGCGGCCCGGATACCTCTCTGCGCGCGTAGCATTAATCCACCTGCTGAGACGTGGCCTTGGCCTCAATATACATTAATATTAATCAAAGTCAACAAGTTACGAAAAACCAACAAACACACCAAAAAAACAAACAGCGTATTTATTTTCTGAGAATAAAAAGTGGCGCATAAGTATATGCTAAAATGATGACTGAAAGGTGTGCGGGTCCCAGGGCCTCCTCGCCGCCACGATGTGGTCGCAGACGTCCTGGATGAATTCGTCGGTGCTTGAGTGGCCGCCAATGTCCTGGTGACAATAAGAAAGGAAATAAGAATACAGTACGGAGAGAGTCTCCCTTTTGTTTCAATGCCTGCACTCTCTGAGTGTGGGGTACTGCACTCAAATAAATCAATGTGCTAATGTACCCCCACCAAAACAATCAGAAAAAAACAAACAAAAAACATCAGGAAACATAAAAAAAAAACATTTTTTTTAAAAATCAAAAAAAAAGTTAAGAATAATAAGAAAAAATTAAGAGTGTGCGTCAATGTACGCACGTGGGTGGCCGTGCCGCGGCGCAGCGCTGAGTCCACGGCGGTCCTGAGCAGCGCCGCGCTGCCGCGCTGCCCCACGAAGTGCAGCAGGTCGGCGGCGGCGCGCAGCATGCCCACCGGGTTGGCCACGCCGCGGCCCTGGATGTCCGTCCCCTTGTTGCGCGTGCCGGGCTCGAACACGGCGGCCTGCGGCCCGTAGTTGGTCCCCGCCAGCAGCCCGGGCCCGCCTGGCGAAGCATGTTCAAGCTCAGCACGTTTTATTCTTCTTCTTAAGAGTAACACAGTTAAAATGACAAAATCTCGCGTGGCGAGCGTCGAGCCAAGGTCGAGTGACCCTCCTCCGCCCGCCCGTCCGACTCTTCTTACCCACGAGCCCACTTAGGATGGCGCCCAGGTAGACGCCGTAGAGGTTCGGCGTGAGCACGACGCTGAAGGGGGTGGCGTCGTGAAGCAGGTCGGCGCAGCAGCGGCCCACCGACATGACGTCCACGTCCACCTCCGGGTACTCGGAGCCCACGGCGAGCGCCACGTCGACGAACAGGCCGTCGGAGCGCGGCAGCGTAGCCTTGTTGTGCACGACGGTGACCCGGGGCCGGCGCTGGCCGCGCGCGTGCTCGAACGCGAACCTGGCCAACAAGAGCGTGGACACGGATAAAAAAAAAAGAAAAAAAGGATTTAGCTAAATGCTGAAACATTAGATAAGTAGCGGACAACTAATTCCTTGGCTCTGTAGCTAAAGATTTAGCCATAACGAAAAATAAAATAAAATAGTAATTTAGCTTAAAATCTAGCTGTGTAGCAAAACGTAGCTAACTTTTAGATACACAGCTACCTAATAAATCCTTCATTTGAGCTAATGGTTTATCTATATTCTTCTAATCTCTTCCTGTCGTGGAGGTGACAGCTTACGTCGGGGCGGCTTCGGTGACACAGCTACGGGGCTGAGGGGTCAAACTGTGGGCCCAGGTTGGGCGGTGTGGTGGCGCGCAGTGGGGGTGTCTGCCCCAGTGCGGTCGTGGGCGGAGGGGTCGGGGATTCCCGCCGTTTAAGAAAGTCAATTAAAATGGGGGCAGGCGGCTGCGCGGCCCGACCGTGTTGCATGACCAAGCGCAGAGGGTAGGGGCGTAAGGGGGGGGGGGGGTAATACATTTGCACCCCCGCCGCAGCTCGCCGCTTGAGGTATGTCAATCAGGTGCAGTAACTTCCGAAAGTATCACTGATAAAATCATAAATTAATTTCTGATTTTGTTTTTAACCGTATATCTTTTAAATTTTACGTAAGTTATCACACGAAAAGGCTCCTCGTGCATTTACCATCGTTTGAACGACGCAAAAAGTGGAACTTGTCATGCCGTGACCAGGATTCGAACCTGGGTTATTGCGGCCACAACGCAAGGTACTAACCACTATACGATCACGGCTACGAGGCTCCTTAGGCGCGACGGCGGCCGCTCGGCTACGAGTCCCGCGGCCGCTCGCGGCCCGCTGCCGCGGCTCGGCGTAGCTGGGCGTGGTGGGGCAGGGCGGGGCAGGGCGAGGCGGGGCGCCGACGGGATAACGCCGGGCCGGACCGCTGCGAGGCGGACTGACTGCCCCCCCCCCCTCTCCCTTTCCCTCTCCTCGCCTTCCCTCCCTTTCCGGCTAACCAACCGGCCTGGTGCATTAACGTTCTGCTACACTTTCTTTTCTGCCGCGAATGTTGTTTCGCGCCGCAGGTCCTCGCAACGCCAAGCAGGCCGTGTCAGAGGCGTCGGCTAGCCGTGATCGTATAGTGGTTAGTACCTTGCGTTGTGGCCGCAATAACCCAGGTTCGAATCCTGGTCACGGCATGAGACGTCATTTTTTTTCGCCCCCGTTTCATGAGCCCCCTCTTCTCCCAGTCACCTCCCCCTCCTTTCGTCGGACCGACCCAGTGCTTCTAGCGGTCTGCTACACTTTCTTTGCCTCGCGAATGTTGTGCGGCGCCAAGTTGTCGGCACGCCAACCAAGCCGTGTCGAAGGCGTCGGCTAGCCGTGATCGTATAGTGGTTAGTACCTTGCGTTGTGGCCGCAATAACCCAGGTTCGAATCCTGGTCACGGCATCGAGACGTCATTTTTATTCTTATTTTTTGGTTCTTCTACCCACTGTTATCGCTATGCCCGCGGCTGTCGCCTTTACTGTACGATGGAAGCCCTTGGATGATAGCATGGTGGTGCGTGCAAGAGCTCATTTGCTCTGAGGCGTGTTGCTAGCCGTGATCGTATAGTGGTTAGTACCTTGCGTTGTGGCCGCAATAACCCAGGTTCGAATCCTGGTCACGGCATCAATCGTCATTTTTATTTTATTTTTGCTTGCGTGCTTCTTAAATTAAAACATATATTCTAACTACTTGTCATTTGCTACTTGGACACTCACCTGGCCACCCTCTCGGAGGCAGCGGCCGTCACGACCTTCATGCTTTCGGCGGCGCCCCTGACAGGGGAGTGTTCCAGCATGAAGTACTCGCCCTCCGTGTTCTGCCGCACCAGCGTCACGTCCACGTCACTCTGCCTCGCCGTCTTCACGCCTTTTAACAGCAGTCGACAAAAATAGATATTTTATTTGACTCATTTGTTTTCATTCTTGCGTGAACCTCGAGCTTGCCCCCCCCCCCCCATCCCCTCTGTGCCGCGGAAGCTACGCCGAAGCGGGCCTGCGCCATCCTCCTCCTCCTCCTCCTTCCCGTCGATGCGGTGGTGCCCTTCGATTTCCACCCCAAGTATGCCGCGGCGGAGATCTGGCCGACGATAAGAGCCTTTGCCTCTGCATCCATCGCCTGCGCACACCGCGCCCCCGCCACGCCACGCCACCCCCAACAGTTTCCAGGACGCGCCGAACCCCCCCCCCCCCCTTTTTTCTCTCCCCTCTTTTGCCCCTGCTTCCAATTTTGGCGGCACCCAGCTCCACTCCGTCCTCCGCGCATATAATTTATGGTTCACCAGACCCCTAACTATTTCCGATCCGTCCGTCGGGGGCGACCGGGCGACCTCAGACAGTGCGAGGTCGGCCTGGTGGCCCCGCACCCCGCGCCGTGCGCCCGCGTCGTCAAGGACTGCCGTGTAGTCCCCCGACTCTGGCTTGCAGTTTTCTGTTTGAGTTTACTGTCCTCATTGGCGGAGGGCCTTGGCCGACCCGGCCCTCCCCGAGCGCCTCACCTGGCTGGCTGCGCGCCTCCATGACGTACACGTACAAGTCCAGCACGCGGCGCAACTGCACCGTCCTGGACACGAGGTTCTCGCCGCGGCCCTTGATCTCGATGTTGCCCTTGAGCGCCACCTAAGACATCCGCATCAGTCGAACCCTTTTCTTCGCAAGGAAACAAAACAAAAACGAAATCAAGAGGACATTGCAATTTCGGCCAACTGCACGCTCGCACCCAACGCCCAACGCACCTTGTTCCTCCTGATGGACAGCACGGCGTGCTCGAACGGCTCGTCTACGTCCGCGCCCCGGGCCAGGTCGGGCAGCACGTGCTCCTCGAAGTCCACCGGCACCCCGGCGGCGGCGAACACCTTGCGCACGCCCTGCATCAGCTCGGGCCCGATGCCCACCCCGGGCAGCAGCGTGACCTGGAATCACACAGGGGGGCCCAGGAGGGTGTCACTCGGGAGGTCCAGGGTGTCATACGGAGGGGTCCAGGGTCCAGGGGATGACGCGCGACTTACCGTGTGGCGGCCGCCGTACTTTGTGAACGGCAGCCCGTCGGCGACGGCGTGGTGCGCGCTGTGGACGCCGCGGACGGGCTGTCCGCTGCGGTGGAGCATCCGCCGCAAAACGGCCGATTGGAGCCGGAGTCCTGTACACGGGGGGAGAAACTCGAAGCATCAGAGTGTTTTTGGCGGCCACTATTGAAAGTTTGAGACGGGGGAGGGGATTGAATCGACGATGATGACCAAGGACAGATGACCAGATTTCAATTCCAGCTTAGCCCTGCCGGTCTTCGTAGGTCTCAGCGTGTGGTCATTTCGACGTTTAGACGTTGATTTGACCGTGCATATTATTTCTCTTATCAAATGTTCAGTTCAACTCTGCGCTTCGACCATACAGGGGCGGAAGGGTGGGACCGGCGGAGCAGTTTGTTCAAAAAGTCACCAGTCACTATCTGCTCAGGTCCCAGTGGCGCGCCTCCCGGTCGAGCGGCCTCATGGCCCCCGGCAGCCAGCATATTAGTTTAAAGGCTTAGCGGCAATCAATAGCGCAGTGCGGGCCGCTCAGAGAGCACTGAGCGCTACCGTGCTACTCTTTTAGTTAGACCCCCCCACCTTTATGTCAATTTGTCGAATAAGTGCAGCATAATCTTATTCCAAGGACCTACTAATGTCGCCTCGTTTCAAGAGTAAATAAATTTGATCATGTGTCACAAATATTATCCAAAATATACTTGGAGCAGCAAAAACGATTTTTCTGGGTATGAGCCTGTAAGCTATTAAAATATATTACAATTGGGTGATTTATAATGCGAAAAAGTACGAAACATCAAAAACGTTTCGCCCAACTACTTGTCCTTCGATTACGAAGTCTGATGGATACGGTTATAGTGCTAATATTTTCAGAGAGAAGCGAGGCAGGTTGTCACGTGGAAAACGTTTCCTCTGTGTTAGAGCAAATTTTTTCAAGGAAGCACTTTGTTTTACAACGAAGATTGCGGCTGACATAGTATCTGAAAGAAATGAGGTGTTCTACGAATTTGAAGACAAACAACTAACAGAATGCGCGAAGTCGTGGGACCGACCTGTGTGCGCCAATGGTATAGCCATGCTGTCGGTAGTTTCTCTCAATCAGGTGGGGGATGGAGTCCGCGGGCGCGCGCCGTCTGCAGAGTGTTCGGTAGAGTGTCCCAGTGTCCCAGTGCCCCCGGGCCGCCCCCCGAGCCGGGGGTGGCCGAGAGAGCAGCAGAGGGGCTCTATGGTGGTCGGGGGAGGGGGTGGCGCAAGGCGCTGGGCGCAGCCGGGTTGACCAACCCCTGCGACGCCAAAGTCATCGCTGTAACAATGCTAGCTGCAGCTGCCAACCTATTCGTGGCTGAACGTTATATGGTCCGGTCTGCGGGACTTAAAGCTCTGGTCATTACACTCTGCCTCCCCGGAATGCCGTGATGCAGGGTGCGCTCACGAAACTTTGTCTTTTGTTCGCGTCAGGCGGGGGGGTTATTGCTGGCCCGCATGGAGCGCTATGAGCCGCGACATGGTCGGGAAATGTTAGATACTTAGAGACTGTACCGCCACGATGTCGTTCCGGTAAAATACCGGGGGACTGATTCGCCCGCGCTCGCTCGCTATGTCGTCTGCTGACAGTATAGCGCCTTACGGCACGACCGAGTAGGCAACCCGCCCGCGCGCTGGTAGGCAGTCCAGTCCAGTTCATGAGCAGGTAGCGGGGAGTTCGGCTGTGGTACAGTGGAGTCTTAATTAAAACGGGATCCACTCTGAGCTCCTCGGTCTTAAGTTTATTGGTCCAGTCCAGTCCGTCATATTCGGTCAATGAACAAACTGTGATTTAAAAAAGATGTCTATTAAGTTGAGTTTCGGGTTCTTGCTCGTTCGTTTCCTGTGTGCGTAGAGTTGGGAGCGCTGTAGTGTAGGCGGGGCGGGGCGTGGCGGGGCGTTGGGGTGGCGGGTGGCTCGCGCCGATTGCTGGAGACGTTTTAATTGGCAGGCCGCGCAGCCTTGACGAGGGGCGAGGCGAGGACGGCGGTGGCGGCGGCGGGGTCCTCGCCGGTCGGTGTGGGGGTGCGCACGACGGGCGTTGAAGGCTCCGCTGCGGGGGTGGGGGCGGCGGCCCCGGCCGCAGGCTATAGAGCCGCAGGCCCACCGGACGGGCCCCAGCCCCGAGTGTGAAAGGGTTGCGCGGCCAGGCCCGGGCCCGGCCTGTTTAGTAGTGCGGGGCTGCCGGGCACGGGGGGCGGTCCTGGAGGCGATGGAGGCCGTCGAGGCAGCGGAGCAGCAGCGGGCAGCAGCGGCCGAGGCGACGCTCCTGCCGGCCAACGCCGCCGCGTGCCAGAGGTACTGTACACCACCACCGACGGCGAGGTGCACGTGCACGACGTTCTTCTTGGAGGCCACGGGCCGCGGCCGGGTAGCAGTCGGCACGCCGCGCACGACGCGACAGTCGGGGGAGGGGGGGGGGTCAGGGGGAAGGGAGTAGGGGGGCAACAGTTCCCTTTGCATTTACGTGCGCGCCAGCTGTCTCCTGCGCTGCCGGTAATAATGTGGGTCGCGGGCGGTAAACTTATCATGGCGTGGCGGGGCGGGGCGGGGGCGTGCGCTGCGCCAAAGCGAATTGTGAGCGGGAGTAGTGATCACTGGAGACACGGCATAACTGTCACCCCCCCCCTCCCTTTCCCCTTCTGACGGCGCGCGAGCAAGTTCGCCCATCGGCAGCGTGGCGCTATGGTCGCCGTGGTCGCCGTCGTCCCGCTTTCGCTCGGGTGATGGTGGTGGCGGTCCCAGCGGGCGAGGACGTTGGCACATGCAGCCGAAAATATGACTGCAAACGTTTCTTAAAATACGCGGATGACATACTTGTCAGCTGTAATCGGTCACCCTTGATCTTTGTCTTTGTGCAGCCACTGCGTTAATCACACCTTGAGCGTGTGTATATGCTCGATATGAGAATGTTCTCATCATGCATGTCCCGCTCTTGGATTATATGATGGTCTGATACGAGTTATTTTTGCTCGCGATCTCCAGGATGGCTGCCACACACAACAGCAGCTCACCCAATACAACGTGTTCACTTTGAGAACGCTCAAAGCTGTGCAGTCTCGGTTGTATGCAGTTTGCGTGTTCAGCCCCACTGATCGTGTCAACACAATGATGAACATTGTTCGAAAATGTGCATTTTGTCTCTTCAGTGACTCCACACGAAAAGGAAACAAAATACTGTTTCTTGATGTAGCTAACAAACTGATTATTCTATATGCGGACACACGATGACGCAAATTAAGCCGAGCATTGGAGGAGAAGATGCGCTCCTAAAAGTTGCAGTGTTTTCCGTGCGCCATACTGAAGGCGATCTGTGCGTCAGAGTGATCCGCTCGCTGGTCGGCGGTTAGGTGTGAGCCGCGAGCTTGTCCGGCCGGCCGGACCCTCCCCAACGTTGCGGACTGACCACCGCCCTCTCCACGGCCGTCAGCCCGGAGGGGAAGGGGGAAGGGAGGGGGCAGGGCCGCGGGAGGGCGGCGGGTGACCCTGTCTGCCTCGGAGAGTCCGCCCCGCTATCTCTCCCACTGTGTTTGCACAAACGCATATAGGCCTCTGTGCCTGCTGTGCTCTCCGAGATAACCCTCCCCCGGGGGCGGTGCGGGCGAGGGGCGGTCGGGCGGGGCGCGGCGAGGGGTAGGGGAGCCGCGCCGAGCCAGGCACGGGTAGGGGCACGGGCTGCGTAACCCCAGCCCAACCAGCTTTCAGTGCGTGCTTGTCATTCATTTGCTTTCCATTTATCTCCACTCGCCTTGGCTCCTTATTTATCGGCGTCTCTCGCTCTTTTTCCATCGACCTCACCGGCACTCTGTGCCGCGCAGAGGCGGAAGTGGAGGAGTCTGGAGTAAATACAAACTTTGTGTGGTTAGGTCGAAGATGCGATCACACACAAAACAAAGTCCTCGCGAAAGTAGGGTTATTGTAACCGTAACCCTGCTTGCTTGCGCCCGTTGTTGTTGCATTCCTCCACACAAACATGACTTTTAATTTGTGATGAATTAATTTCGGGGGTATAATGTTATGTAATGTAGTTGTGTGCAAATCTGTATCTTACGTTTGTTTGCAAATTGGTTGGAAGATTTACTAAGCACGAAATTCCGATGCCCTCTTTTTTCGGTGGCCAAAGGCGTACGACGTGGGCTGGGGCTCAGGCTAGCCGTGCCACGGCGCGGGGGGCGGCGAGGGTGGCCCCACCGCCGAGTCCAGGCGCGCCTGCTCCCCCTGCGTTACGGAGGGGGCGGCTCCAGTCTGTCCCAGCGCGGCGGGGCCCGGGTGGGGCCATGGTGGGCCCCACGCGGGGTCGGCGGCGGGGGTTTGGGGGGCGGACAGCTCATGAAGGCGAATGGGGGAAGAAGCGCGACGACTCCTTCGATCGTCAAGTCTCGGATTTTATTATTTGTATCTCGTCGTTGGGTTGACATGAGGCTCGTGCGGTGACTGCCGCCGTCACCCTGCCCCCTCTGGCGGAAGAGTCGCTCCCCCAATAGTAGTTGCAAACCGATCGCCCTGCCGAGCGCGCGCTCCGCCGCAGCCCCATGCCTATGGCCGCCCTGGCCCCGCGGACCCCCCGGCGGACCCTCTGCACGTGCGCGTCGTCGCGCGGATGGCGCGGGGAGATGGCGACCGCGACAGGCCTCGGACCGCGTACCACCACCACCACCGCGCCGCGGAGCAGCGCCGCCCGCGCCGTCTGACCGCGCTCTTCTCCTCGCTGAACGCCGCGCTGCTGGTGGCGAGGTCCAAGTCCAAGCGGGTGGCCGCCAGGTTGTTGCGGTTGCGACCTTTCTATGCAAACCGGAAGCACGACTGGGTATACACACAGCAGCACCGCACACACCAGCAGCGGGGACTTCGCTCACCTACCCTTCCGGCCGCCGCCGCCCGCCCCGCCACCCCCTCTGACCTCCGCCCCGTTCTGTGTTGCAGGTACCGCTAACGGGCGGGTCGCTGGACCGCCGTCGGACGCCCTTCGTTCGGAGTGCTTCGAAGCGCGAGGTGAGTTTGAGGGTCTGTGTGCTTCACCACCAACATGAAATTATGTGCATAGGCACCCAATGCACAACGGATATTTTAACTGATTCGTCACATGAGCATTTTGATAAAAGATGCAAGTTGTGTGTTCGCCGGGATTTGTTTTTCTAACGAAAAGGGATAGAGAACCTCAGTATATGCCGCGGCAGATAGATTTGGCTTGCTCTTCGGGCCAAAAGAGCGATCAATATACTCGTTGAATCTTAAATCACGCTTTTCCATCCATCGGTCTAGGACAAAAAGATCGCACGGACGTTATTTTTTATCGGGCCGCAAAAGCTAAATTATGAAGACTTGCCTTTCTAGGGGTGTTAAATTTTTATGCACAAGTACATGTATTTGTAAAGGCTCAACCATGTCCAAGGTTATTAAAATTTGGCACCTTTTTTTTAACGACTTTCTAGGGGTGCTAATTTTAATGTCTTTTCAAATACATTACAATCTTTTCAGTCGTGTACCTTTTTTTCCAGTGTCGTTCTGGGCACATTTAAATCAAAATATGCGTGTTTGAATGCGTGCAGGCGAGCGCGGGCGCGGCCGACCGCAGTGCGAGCAGGATGGAGGCGGGCAGGGAGCGGAGCCGGGATCGGGAGCGCAGCCCGGCGCGCAGCCCGGCGCGCAGCCTGGGCGCGGCCGTGGCGGACGCGGGCGCCGCGGGCGACGTGATGCTGCGCCAGAACCGCGAGATGCGGCGCCGCATGGAGGAGGAGCAGGCCTCGTACCGCCGCCGCCTGGACACGTACCGGCAGGCGCAGCAGCACCAGGCCGCCCTCGTGAGCCGCCTGCAGGCCAAGGTGCTGCAGTACAAGCAGCGCTGCGCCGAGCTCGAGGGCCACATGGAGGACACGCTCGCGCCGCCGCGGCCGCCGTCGGCCCTGGAGCGGGACGAGCGCGAACGGGACCGCGTGCTGGACCTGGACACGGCCCTCATCAGGCTGGACGACGAGCGCCGGAAGTAAGATCACTTTACCCATTTTTACTCATTTTTATTATAGGGCTTTAGAGGAGTAAGAGTAACATTAAGAAATATAAATCAAAAGCAGTTGTTTATTATTTTTTGTTGAAAAGTTTCAATATTTGCCAAGAATTTCAAAACATAAAATAATTCAATGAACTTTTAAAAGTTTTTTGGGGAAAATTTGAGGTTGTATTAGCCTATAAAAATATACCATTGGCATTGGCTAAAGGCTTTCTAACTCCATATGCCAGGAGCGACAAGGCGATGCAGCTCAACCTGGCCCTGCGCGACCAGCTGGAGGAGGCGCACCAGACGAACGAGGCCCTCACCTCGGACCTGCAGAAGCTGTCCAACGACTGGGAGGCGCTGCGGGAGGAGATGCTGCTCAAGGAGGAGGAGTGGAAGGAGGAGGAGCAGGCCTTCAACGAGTACTACACGACGGAGCACGCGCGCCTCCTCAACCTCTGGCGCGACGTGGTGGCCGTCAAGCGCCTCTTCGCGGACATGCAGGCAAGGACTTTTCTGAGAGTTTAACATTTATGACGCCGTTGGCTGCAAAATAATATTTATTTCAAATAATGTGGGTCTTTTTCGTTATTTGCAGGCGAGCACGCAACGCGACCTCCAGGGCCTGCGCTCGGATATGACGCTCACCACGAGGGAGATGGCGAGCGCGTGCTCGGCGCTGGCGGGCGGTGCGCGGCGCGAGGCTAGCGAGGACCGGCAGCAGAGCGAGCGCGAGCTGAACGAGCTGCGCACGCAGCTGCAGGCGCTGCGTGCCTCGCACGAGGCCGCCGTGGCCGAGGTGAAGCACAAGGACGAGCGCGTGCAGAGCCTGACCCGGGAGGTGCAGGCGCTCGAGGAGCGCTGCGGCGAGGCCGAGGCCGGCCTGGGCCAGGTGACGCGCATCCAGGAGGAGGTGGAGCTGCTGCAGGGCGCGCTGCGCGACATCGCGCACGCCGTCATCCAGGACGCGGAGGGGCGCGACGTGGACGCCGTGATGCTGTCGCAGTCGGCGCACGTCCACCTGACGCCGCCGGGCCCCGTGCCGCCGCGCTCCCCCAAGCGCGGCCAGCAGCGCGCGCACACGTCGCCCGCCTTCGCCGAGGGCACCATCTCGGCCGTGCAGGCGGCGCTGCACAAGTACCAGCTGCACATCCACGAGCTGCAGGTGAAGCTCGACGCCAGCCAGGAGCAGCTGCAGAGCACCCGCCGCCAGACCGAGGCATCCGAGTGCTCGCAGCAGTCGCTCGAGGCGCGCGTCGCCGAGCTCACCATCCAACTGGACGCGGCCAAGGCGCGCTGCAACCAGCTGCTGCAGGAGAAGGACATCCTCGTCAAGTCCCTCGACTCGGTGCGCGCCGAGAAGAACGCCCTGGACAAGAATCGGCTGGAGATCAACGCCATGGTAAGGAGTAACTTTGCGACGCCCCCCGGGCCGGGCCCGGCTGGGGTCGCTCGATGCCGGAAGTAGGTCGCCGTAGCGCTGTCATGCCCGGGGGCTGTCTGCGGTGCGTGGGCAGCGCTAGGGCGGGCGGGCGCGTCGTGTGACATGAGAAACTTTGGTTTGCAGATTGACACTCTAAACGCAGACTACGAGAAGGTACAGAAGAACAACAACCGCCTCCAGAAGCTGCTCGATGGCATGGAGGACGAGAAGATCTTCCTGCAGAGCGAGCTCGACCGGCTGAGCAAAGACGGAGAGATGAGGTACGGAGGGAGCTGAGCGATTATCACAATTTTCGAACTTTAAAAGGACTTGTAATCTCAGACGTGCAAATTATCGTAAAAACAACCCAATCATTTTCCCCAAGTTTTTCCAAGTAAATGGTACAATATTGATAATACGCCCCATGCACACTAAGTTGAGATTTTCGTTTAGTTTTATTTGAAAACGGCCAACGATATGTTGCGAAATTATTCAGCCGTGTCTGTCTTCGTCTGTCTTCTCTGTTGTACAAATTCGTTTCGCCGTCGTGTCCGCAGGGAGGTGAGCCTGCGCGCCGAGGAGGACCGCGGCAGCCGGCTGCGGGAGGAGCTGCTGACGGTGCGCGAGGAGCTCAGCAGGGCGCACCTGGCTCGCGAGGTGCTGGAGCAGCACAAGGACGACTCGGAGAGCGTGATCGCGCAGATGGAGAAGGCCAAGGGCGACATTGAGCTGGAGCTGGAGCGGGTGCTCATGGAACGCGCCGATCTTCAGGTTGGCACCAAATCTCCTAAAGCCGACTAACTTTTAGCGCTTGTATTTAAAATTTTTCAAAGATAGCAAAGCAAAGGCAATCAAATCAAAATTTTCAGTATTAAATGACTAGCTGCTTCTTTTTTTAATCTCTCTCTTTTTCTTTTCCTTTTTTTTTGTACGTAGATTAAGGTTTCCCATACGGGTATTGATTATTTTGATATTTAACGCGGTATATTTTCTGCCATTTTAGGAAGCGCTGCTCAAGGCCGAGAATCTATCCCTCAGCCTCGAGGCCGACAAGAAGCGCCTGCAGGATGACCGGCGCACCCTGGAGGAGGAGCGAGCCGCGCTGCAGGGCCAGGTGGCCGACCAGAACAGCGACCTGGGCTCGCTTCGCAAGGAGCTACTGCAGGCCGAACAGACGCGCCTCGACCTCGAGTCGGACAAGGTGTCCCTGCAGGAGAAGTGCAAGTTCTTGGACATCGAGAAAGAGAAGGTATGAGGCGGCAGCTTTATAATGCTTCACCTACCCAGTAGACCCAATCTTTCAACATCTTACGCCACAATTTATCTCGTTGCGTTTAGAGATGTAAATTTCTAAAACACATACGCAATTTTAATTTTTTTAAATAATTTCTTAAATTTAACTTTATCTTTTTATACTTCTTTTTTATCTTCTGCTAATATTTCACCGGATTTTCTTTTTAGATGTTACATTTGAAATTATCTGTTGCAGACTGAAGTGGAGCTCGGGCAGGTGGCCCGCGAGCGCAGCGACTTTAGTCACCAGCTGGCCGTGGTCGTCCGCCAGAAGGAAGCGCTCTCGGAGGAGCTGGGCCGCGTGCGCCAGCGGCTGGAGCAGGCCAGCGAGACCAACAGCAGGCTCAACCTGAGCCTCGAGGACCTCGTCAAGGACTGCGAGGAGAAGCAGGTGGTCCTGGAGGCCAACGACAAGGACATCCAGCGCCTCCAGGAGCAGCTGGCCTCGCTTCGCAGCGAGAAGGAGGCGCTGGAGGCCGTGCTCTTCGACGCGCAGACGGGTTTGGAGGCGACGGACAACAAGCGCGCCAAGCTGGAGAAGGAGAACCAGGAGCTGCTCGTCAAGCACGAGGGGCTCAAGGGGCAGATCACCCGCCTCACCAAAGACCTGGAGAACTCGGAGAAGCGCGCCCGCGAGATGCGCGCGTCCCTGCTGCAGGCCGCCGGAAACCAGGAGGCCGAGTTCCAGCAGCAGATCGCCAAGCTTAAAAGCACAATCGAGGAGACGGTGCGCAAGCTCACCGACGAGAGGGTAAGTGACTCTAGATAGCTTTACTCGCCTGACAGACAGGCAAGCCCGCAGTGCGCCAACGCCGAGCGGGTTGGCCTGTCCGGCAAAGCGGCCACCGCCTGCAAAGTAGGCAAGCCCGCAGGACATTTGTGCCGGGCGGGCTGGCCTGTTACCACGCGGCCACCGCCTGCGAAGCGGGCAAACCCGCAGTGCACATATGATGGGCTGGCTGGCCTACCTCTGAAGGCGGCCACCGCCTGCGAAGTAGGGAAGAAGGCAATCCCGCAGTACACATGCGCCCTTTGTCCAGGAGCAAGTTCGTGCCGCGCTGGAGAAGCGCCTGCAGAGTGCCGTGACCCAGCTGACCAACGAGAAGGAGGCGGAAGTGGCCGCCCTCCAGGAGAGGATCGACGCGGCACAGCAGCACCTGGAGAACGTGTGCCAGCAGCACGAAGAGGCGCTACTCCGCGCCGAGAACGACAAGCAGCAGTCGCTGCTTCTGGGTAAGCTCGCGCGGCGAGAGAAATCTGTTTGTCCTCTATCCGTATCGCTTTCATCCCTTCTGACGCGTCATTTTTGTTTTTGGCATTCCCCAGCGCAACACGACCAGCAGGCGCTGCAGGAGAAGCTGGAGTGCGTGCGGCGCGAGCTGGAGGAGGAGCGCGGCGTGCTGGAGCGGGTGCGGCGCGAGGCGACGGCGCGCGCCGAGCAGGACCGCGCCACGCTCAACCAGCTGCGCGACGAGCTGGCGCGCGTGCACACGCGCCTCGAGGACTTCAAGTGCAAGGCGGAGGAGGACCGCGCCCGCTTCGACGCGCGCGCCGACGAGCTGCTCCGCGAGCGCGACCTCTCGCAGCAGGAGAGCGAGGAGCTCAAGGTGCAGCTCAGCCTGTCCGAGGACCGCGTCGACCAGGTAACCAACACTATTAGCAACTTTATTTTTCAAATTTTTCAATAATTTTGTTGTTGTAAGTCTCTTAGTTTTGGGCTAAGAAGTTTCATTTTCTACATTTTTTCTGGAAATACTTTAAATTTTTCCAATTTTTTTCGGAAAAAAATTCTACCTTAAAACCAAAAAATAAGATGGACTGACATTTCCAGTCGCAATTTGTAGTTTCACTGTAAACTTGTACTGAAACTGTAATTCCCTCTCCAACTAGGTCCAGGCACAGCTGCAGGAGACGCTGCGCAAGCTCAAGGAGACCGAAAACGTGAGCGAGTCGCTGCGGAAGGACCTGACGGACGTCCGCCGCCAGCTCAGCGACTGCAGCTTCGAGAAGGACAAGTACTGCAGCACCAACCGCGAGCTGCGCGAGATCGTCAAGCGGCTGGAGGGCGACAAGCGCGAGGCGGCGCGCGGGCTGGACGAGGCCGTGCAGAAGATCGCCATGCTGGAGGAGGCGCGCGGCGCGCTCGACCTGGAGCGCACCCGCCTGCAGGCGCAGGTGCGCGACCTGGAGCACGCGCACCTCACCGTGCAGCACAACCTGCAGACGGTGCAGGACGAGCTGGCGCGCACGCAGGCCGCCAACAAGCAGGCCGCCGGCGAGGAGAAGGAGCTGCAGGCGCGGCTGGCCGTGGAGACCGAGGAGCGCGAGCGAGCCTCGCAGGAGCTGCACCAGCTGCGCAAGCAGGTGAGTGGCGCGGCGGGCCGGAGACTATCCCGACCAGAGCCGTGCGGTTAGGCAGCCCGGCCGGCTGGCGTGGTGGTTGTGCTGCTGAATACCCCGGGGCCGTTTGAGCCGATCAGCCACTAGGGTCGAAGAAAAAAATGTTCCTGACATTTTTAAAGACCAGTGTTTAATAGAAAACAACATTCCTGGATTTATGTGATTGCTAAGTAATTGTACAGGGTACAGTAATAACGGTTTTTGTTTCGTTTTGATTTACTTCGACTTCCGTGGTTTTAAGAACGTCATTCTGTTCTAGTTACATTTGTACGGTTTCCGGAAAAAAAATAATATACAAGAGATATAAAATGTACCGCAAAAACAAAAACAAACTCAGATCCGTGGATACTTCTTCCAGCAAGCACTGTTGTTTTTCTTTTTCGGATTTGTCGATTAACATATACATGATTAATGTCTGGTTCGTTGAATCTGGTTGGCCCCGGCACCGTTTGCGCCCACGCCCTCACTCACACCGCCACCGTCTCGTTCACCGCAGGCCGTGGAGCTGGACGGCGCGCTGGAGATGGCCCGCCAGGAGATGGCGCGCCTGCGCTCGCGCGCCGAGGAGGAGGGCGAGCGGTGGCGCGCGCGCGAGCAGGAGCTGGTCATGCGCCTGGAGGACAGCCGCAACCGGGAGCGCAAGCTCGAGGACCAGAAGCACAACCTGGAGGTGTGCCTGGCCGACGCCACGCAGCAGATCCAGGAGCTCAAGGCGCGCCTGGGCGGCGCCGAGGGCCGCGTGCGCGCCCTGGACCAGCAGCTGCTGCAGCTGGAGGCGGCCAAGAAGGACGCGGACCAGAAGCTGAGCAGCGTGGGGTCGACGCTGCGCCGCATCGCCGGCATCCAGCTGGACGGCAGCGTCAGCCTGCCCTTCCGTCTGCTCAGCCCGTCGCGCCGGTGGAGCCCCGCCAGAGGTGAGTGAGGCGGGCGTCTAAATGTCCCGATTGGATGCGGCCGTGTGGTGCATCCCTTAGGTTCTGACCGTACGGCGTACACCGACCTTTCCACTTTTTCTTATTTTTCGACATTATGCTCGTTTTTGACCGAAACCGCGCCACTCTGTGTAAGTGGAAGAACGAGTGTTGTGCAAGTTAGTGGCCAGTGGCCAGCCTTAATTCCTCCTCTCCAGTAATCCGTTTGACTTAAGGTCGACTTTTTTCTCCAGCTACTCTGTCATACTTGTGCTGTGACTTAAAATTGGTCATGTAAAAATCGCGTACTATCTACGTGCTGTATTTCCCGGACACGGTGGGCTCTGTCTGAATAGCGCTTTGTTTCTGATCCCATTGCTGTAGCAGTCCAAGAGCACCACGACGGCCGAGGCGACAGCGTGGTTGATGTGGACCCGGAGGTGATCCGCAAGGGCGTACGCTCCCTCATGCAGCAAGTGGCGCAGATCGAACGAGAGCGGGTACGATGTCGTCCTCGAATCCATGGAGTACACTTTCCACCAGACGAACGCACCCTGATGCCCCTTTTCCTCTCGTTCCAGGACGACCTGAAGGCCCAGGTGACCGCGGCCAAAAAGCAGCTGGCCGAGACGCAGGAGCACCAGTCCAAAGGAGACACGAAACTCAACGCCACGCTGCAGAACCTGTCCCGCCTCCAGGAGGAGAAGGGCAGCCTGGAGAACCGGCTGGGACAGAAGCAAGCAGCGCTCCAGGTAGGCGTGTCCGTCCGGCCCGGGCCGTGGCCGTGCTGGCTGTGGTCGGCCGCTGCTGGGCGGCAGATTCAAATTAGATTAATTGCAATGTATCCCCCTTCGATACCCTTGCCCCACACGCGAGTAACTCACTCCCTTGCTAGCCTTGCCGTCGCCGCGATGTCGCCCTCGGGTGTTCTGGCAGCAGCCACGCATAAACAAAACACTTTCTCCAAAACATAGCTCTTATAAAATTGATCATTTTGCGACGTCGTCCTTAGGCCCAATCGGAGACACTGCAGCAGCGCACCGAGGAGGCGACGCAGCTGCGCGAGCGTCTGACGGCGCTGGAGCTGACGCTGCACTCGGGCGCGGAGGAGCGCGCCGTGTGCGAGGACAAGCTGGATAAGGTGCGGGCCGCGTGCGGCCGCCTGGAGGCCGAGAAGCGCGCGCTGCAGGAGGAGCTGGGCCGCACCGAGTCGCGCGCCACCAAGCTCGAGCTGCAGCGCATGGGCCTGGAGGGTGACCTGCAGCGGCTGCAGATGGTGCTGCAGGAGAAGGACTCGCATCTGGCGGTGAGTGGACGTGTTCGCCCCCTCTCGAGAATGGTGGGGCAGTACTGTAAAACATTTCATTAAAAAGTTAAAAATTATTTTACAAAAATCTAATAATTAAATTAGACACACACGAAAAGCTTTCCGAACATGTTAAGAAAAAAATAATTTAAATTATAATTTTTCATGATGACACCCCATGTGCGATATGTCCTGCAGAAGTTGCAAGAGAGGTGCGAGCAACAGGGCCGCATGGTGGCCAGCCTCGAGGAGCGCTGCGCCTCCATGAAGAACACCATCGACCAGCTGAACCTGTCGCTGGAGCGCGCCGCAGCTGGCGAGTCGGAGCTGCGCGCCGAGATTCAAAGCCTGCAGCGCACGCTCATCGACACGAGCTCCACATCGCAGGCCAGCTGCGAGAAGTTGAAACAAGTAAGAATCCCGTGAAACGCTCTGGATAGGAAAGGGTCAGACAGCGAGTCGGAAACTTAACCATCGAGTGTGTTCCTCCTACAGCTCCAGAAGTCCCTGACGAACAGCGAGAACGAGCGGCGAGTCGTGACGGAGCGGCTGGAGGTGACGCAGCAGCAGCTCGCGGACCTGCGGAGAGCCAACCAGCAGCTGTCGGACCAGTCCAGCCGCCTGCACGCCGAGCTGGCCAACAACGAGGTGCAGCGCTCGGCGCTCGAGTCGCAGCTGCGGCTGGCCAACTCCTCGGCGGCGTCCTGGCCCGCCGAGCAGCACGCGCCCGACAACATGCGCGAGGAGGAGCTGAACCGCCAGCTTACCACGGCCCACCGCGAGCGCTCCGACCTGCGCACCAAGGTGGACTCGCTCGTCGAGAAGGTGCGCTGCCTGGAGACGGAGAAGCGCACGCTGGAGCGTACCATTACCAAGGGCGGCCGCAGCCGCAGCTACGACCGCAACCGGGAGGCGACGGAGAAGGAGCTGGACATGGTGGACTCGGCCGGCTCGGGCCTCAGCCAGGTGCTGGAGCAGGAGAACCGCGAGCTCCGCATGCGCGTGCGCCGTCTGGAGGCGATGCTCGCCGAAAAGGAGAACGAGCTGCTGCGCGCCCGCCAGGCGCTGCAGTCGGCGCAGGCGCACCTGCAGGTGCAGCAGTCGCACGGCCGCTCGCACAGCCCCGAGCGCGCCGAGCGGGCTGAGCGGGCCGCCGAGCTGGAGCGGGTGCGCGCCTCGCAGCTGCAGGCCGAGCGCCTGCTCGAGGCGCGCGAGCAGTCGCACCGCCAGCAGGTGCTGCGGCTTGAGAACCAGGTCGGCACCGCCAACCACCGTGACGCTCATTTAATTTTCTGCGTGTCCGTCCCGACCCACGCATAGCCTTTAAACACCACCGGTTGTTGATTCCGACTCTGATTTTGCAGATTCAACTTCTCCGCGAGCAGCTGGCCCAGGAAGTCAAGCGGCGGCAGCTGTACGTGCTGCGCAGCTCCAGGGCCGGGCGGGAGATGCAGCACCTGCGGCAGGCGCTGGGCGACTCGCTGCGGACCGTGTCGCAGGACCCCGCCCTGGACGCGCTGCTGCTCGAGCACGAGGCGCGCAAGTTGGACAACTCGCTCGCCACGGCCACCTCGCCCATGCCGCCCAAGTAGTGGCCCGGCGACTCTGCGGTGGATCATCACTGATCATCCAGTTGCTTAAAACCATTGCGAATACCAGCTCTTCCTGTTCTTTGGAATTGTTTAAAATAGACACTGATCAGAATCTCGGAATTTTTTGAAGCATGGTGAATTTGTAGAAGAGCTTCACTGTACTTGTAAGATTAACAACTTTATTATCATGTTTAAAGCCTGGCGTGTATACTTCCATTCAAAACACCTTTTTGTTTGTTTGGAACATAGAATTAGACGACTTGGTGTAAATCTGCAGTTCATGAAAATATGGTTCCTGTTGTAGGAATCGAGACCATTCCACATAAATATCTGGTTCCTGTTGTAGGAATAAATAACATTCCACATAAATATTTCCAGTGTGTGTTTATGCATGTCTGTGTGGATTTCTTGGAAGGGTTTGTATGTTTCTAGTCTTTTCTATTTATTCTTTTTATGTGACCATTTATGTTTTTCTGTTTTACTTATTTTATGTTGTTTAACTTTTTTGAAAACTATAATTCATGTAACAAATCAAGTTACATTTTTTTTTACTCAATTTTGTGATCTAAGACTTTGTACCAAAATATACTGCCATGAATAATTTTAGTTGATACCACAACTCAAGCATTCTTTGAAATAGCTCATTTACAATTCTATGTATTGTATTGACTAGAGTTTTTACATTTTGCACTTTTCTTCTCCATAGCCATGAATATGTAGCTGTTTTAGATTTTATTTTAAAGCGGGTTTAGTCTACGTCATTTAATTTTGGTCAGATCCTGGTTTCATCAAATGAGGCTTAAGAGGGTATGTTGTGAATAAGTGTTAATACTTTATTACAACTTAGCCTGGGCCTGTGCCATTATAACTTAGTCATGTGCCTTTTAAAAGAAATATTCTCTCTATCATACAAAGGAAAAATAGGCACAACCCCCAAACATGTTTGTATTGTGCAATTTACAAGTACTTTTAAGAAGAAGTGGAATGGTTAGTTTCCACTCCTAGTGTTTAAATCTTGTTTCACTTAGAAATACTTCCCAGAACTGATAACCAACTTTCAATATTTTTTGCCACAGTGAAATTTCTAAAGGAATGCATTTGATGTTAACGAAATGTTTGGCTTGCTGCAGGTGAGGCGAGAACTCACACTGCATCGCAAGTCAAGAGAGATCTGATAGGAGCTTGTGTCGTGTTCTCTAACCTGTCACTCGCTGAGGGGTCATGTGGTAGAACCATGGTAAAGTTGATCAGTGCATTTTTCCCTAGGACCAGTTTCAGAAAAAAATAGTGACTCATGTAGCACTGTACATTTTGGGGGATATTATATTTATTATTTTATAGATTTGAGTTTAGTAAGGATTTCCCTCTAAACAACCTGAATGTGGAATTATTACTAGATGTATCTTTTTTTTTGCACCTTGAAAATGTGTGTTTTCTATCCACTTTGTCGAGCAAAGTGCATAGAAATACAAGTTAATTTTGGAGCAAATAAATCCTGCAGCCTCCTTGGCTGCAGTTCTTAATAATTTATTGCTGAACAAAGTGCCTCTTAAAATCAAAACTAAAAGCCAAAAACAAAAAAGTAAAACCTGGGAAAACAAAATAGTGTATGAAATCACAAACAGGATTCAGTCTGTTGTAGGTCAAGCCTTAGGTAGATTATACTATGATCTAATTTGGGGATTTTTTTAAAGCAAACTATTATCTTCACATGTAGTGAAAGTTATGTAATAATCCTGGCCAGGAGCAAAGGGTAGTAAAGTCTATCATTTTTAGACGTTATCGATTTGATGATAAAATTTATTGAACTGTTTTCAACTTATTTATGCTATTTTTGTGGAGAACACTTCCAATAATTATGTAGTGGTGTAGGTCAAGGTAGCAATGCTCCTTGTCCGTTTTTGATTTCTTCTACATGTCATGTAGTTTTGTAAGTCTTATCATTTTTTTTATGTGTATGTGAGGGTGTGTTTTTACTTGTAGTACTGTGACTTTGCATAGGTGCTATATTACTGTGTTTTATATTGTGATTCGTATGTGCCTTAATACCAGGTAACATGAAACTTTATTAAAATGTCGTGTCATCAAGAATCAGTCAATCGCTTTAAATCTCAAAGCAGAACTAATGAATCTCAGTGGGAGAGGAAATTTTATGCTCATCTAGTGTCTAGTGTTTTAGTCCGTCCATAACTGCCTTCAACCATTATATGTGTAGAATATGTTTGATACTAGTAATGTGATTTCATAGAATAAAAATATTACCAAACAACCGTTTTGTTTAATGTTGTTTTTCATTCTATCTTACACACTACTTTTTTAAAAATCCAAGCACGCCACACATTGCGACACGTCCTGCTGGAGGCTGCAGGAGAGCAGGAGAGCCCTCTGACGAGCCGCAGTTTATTGACGAGTATCCGGTAGTAATGGTGAGTTAAGTAGAAGTGGGAGTCCCCCCGGTGGTGGGTTGGGCGCGAGTAGGGGGTGGAGGGGCGTCATTTACTTACTCAATACCACCAGTAGTGCGCGTGGTGTGGTGTGAGCTAGTGCAATGCCCCACTCCCCTCCAACCTCTACCACCACGTGGAGCCCGAGGCAGTGCAGGTAGCGCACTGGCCGTGTTTGTGTGTAAAAGGAGGGGAGGAAGGGGGGGGGGGGCGGAAGAAAGGAAGATGGGTGACTTTTTTTCGTTTTGTCTTCCTTTTCTCTAAGGACGCGGGACGCGGTCTCTAATTGACCCACGCTCACACGCGCGCACTCACGCACACTCACACAGACTCGCGCACTCATACACTCACTCACCCGCACTCACACCACCAACTAATTATCGGCTCGCTATGTTCTTGTCCGGCAAAACCACGCACGTCTCGTGTCCGGCCAGCGGCTCACGGTGCGCACCGGGTGAGGGGGGAAGGCCCATACACTGCGCCACTACCCCCCGACGTTTGGCAGCCGGCGCTGGCTGGACTGACGGCTGGCGCAACGCTTATGCCTCCGCATGTCCGCTCGTCCGTCCCGTCCCGTCCAGCGACCCATACGCGTCGCGTTATGGCCCCTCCTCCCCTCTACCCCACGCACTGCTCGGCCTCGCGGGCGCGGGCGATGACGGGGCGGGACGGGTGACGACGACGCGACGGGCCCCTTCCCGTCCGGATGGTCCGGAGGATATGTCGGTGAGAAGGGGTGTAGCTTAGACAAAGCACCCCCTGAGCGAAAAACAAATCGTATAAAAGTGTATTCCCTTTTTAGACAGTCCCTTGTGGCTGTCTCTACCCGAAGGTAAAAGTTTCCAGTTTTGATAAAGATGGCCGATTAACCTGATTAACGTTCCAGTTATGATAAGCCGATTGACGTTGATCAAGTTAGTTCCCCGTTAGCCAGCTCAGCTCCAGCCCAGCGAAGCCCAGTCTGCCTATAGTATATACAGGGTGGTCCATAGACCCCTTCCTTTATTTTGCTTATGCTGTACCGCATTCAGGCGTGCGGGTGGGTTGCATACTCACACGGGGCCATAAGGCGTCATGGGGAGCGACGATAGGCAAGCCCGCCCGCACGCCTGCATGCGGTACAGTATAAGCAAAATAAAGGAAGGGGTCTATGGACCACCCTGTATTCTGTGGGGAGGGCTGTGGCGTTGTGCGTTGCGCGTTGTCTACCACAAAGTGTTGCCGCTATCTTAACAAACATGACAGGCTCAGTCGTCACCGTGTTCCCGAATGGTTTCTTGCGACCCTTGAGAGCGCCCCTGCCCCAGCCCAGCCACTTGAGAGAGCGCCGCGGCTCTTCGCTCTTCACGCTCCCGGCCCGAACCGCCCTGCCGCGCCCCTGACGAGCCGAAAGACAGAGGAAGGACATCAAATATTGTCTCTGGCTTGTCTGAAACGTGTCTTTATGTCTGGAAACTGTCTTTTTAACGTCCTGCAAGACATACGTGTCCTTTGATTGTCTCTATATTGTCCAGTTGCTGTCTTTTTAATGTCCTTTTCGTGTCCCGTTGG